GTGACGTCTGTTCAGGTTAAATTGTGTTCAGCTGAAAGCTGTGTAGGTCACTTTCAGTAAAGGCCTCTGGGATGTTTTCCCTATTCAAAACAAGCTTGTGGTATAAGATTTATGATTCGAGGATTGTTTCTCCAGTTTGTCCTATTGGGTATGTGTGTCTGCCTCAAAAATAAACCTTCAGAATGAATGGGAAGTGATATCTGCAGCTAATCCAACCCCACTAGTTACACCTCAGCAGCCTTTTAGAGTTTATTTAAGCCAGAATAATACTCTGAAAATTGTCATGAGTATAAAACAGTCATATGAGATAAACGCAGAGGATTCTACTTTGGTCACTGAAGGTCGATGCTTCAGCGTGTGCGTGCGTGAGTGAGTGTTCGTGCGTGAGTGTTCGTGTGTGTGTGCGTTTCAGTGTCGGGGGGGTGGTGTTGACAAAGGGCGGACAGGAAGCCACAAGCTGGGCGACTTTTCCGGATATTTCTGCTCAGACGTGGTGGAGAGCTGCAAATTTAGCCTTCGGTAATTAAGCCGCCACTAACGGGGGAAAGTTGCAGCATCCTGTGAATGAAAAACTCATTGGGTGGTGGTGAAGTCATCGTGTGCCAAGAGGCACCACCTGACACCTTCTGATTAGGCGGAGTGGCAGCACTCGTACGGGCAAACAAGCGCATCATGCCGCGGGGGGGCCACCGGTAACGGGGCCCGTATTCCCGACGTGACTGAGCTGCCTTCCATTTTCAGCCACGGGATCTCAGTCATTTATTTGATCCGCCGTGGCAAGTAGCCCCTGTCGTCGTAAAGGCCGTCCGGACTTAATTTACAGAAGATGGAAAAACTGGAAGGTTTTTTTTTCCATTTTGCACCGAACGCGAGTGAAAGTCTGGCGGTGGCCTGACGGAAGGCGGCCGGGATTCGGCGGCTGGGGTGTCAGATTTCCGGCAGACGGGGGGGGGTCGCGGCTTGATGTGTCCGGAGTTAATTAGATCGAGCTGGGAGGGACACCTGCGGGACTTAGCTGGCCTCGGTATTCATTAAACCCCCCTCAGCCAGAATGGAGAAATGTTTCATTTATTCACAGGAAATGGGGGCCTAGACCCCTTCTGGGGGGGGGGGAGGGCGTGGGCAGGGGCTCCCACGCAGGCCGCAGCCCGAAAGCCCGGCGCCGGGGACGTCCCCCTGCCCCTGGAAGGAATGTGACGTCCGACACCCAACCAGGAGGAACAGAGGGAGGATGGATGGACAGACAAACAGTTACAGTGCAAAGAATGTCAGGGAAATTATTGCACGGAATTCCTTAGTTACGGCTCAGTATTAAACAGCCCATCCATCCATTCTTTATACCTGCTTGTCCTATGAAGGGTCGCAGGGTCCGGGGCTCGTTCCAGAGGCTACAGGTGCAGGGCAGGGGCCACCCCATTGCGGGGGACACAAACCGATGAGGAATTTGGGAACTCCAATTCACTTTAGCATGTCTTTTGGACTGTGGCGGTGGTGGGGGGACTCTTGGTAACCCCACGCCGACATGTGGAGACTCAGTCCCTGGTCCCAGAGGTGTGAGGCAACAGCTCTAACCACCATGGCATCAGTGGGTTGTACAGAGAGTGAATGAACATTCTGTGACAGTACCTAAGCAGTTCTGGTCGCAGTTGGTCGTCCCCAGGGCCTAGGGTCCGATCCCGATCGGCACAAAGGCATGACAAGAAAAAATAAATATATATATATATATAAATTATATACATGGGAGGGATGCTGTTTGGTGCACAGAGGAGACAGTGCCCCCCACTGACTCCACCCTGTAAATAAAACCATCCCCACTTCACCATTGCTTCAGGGAAGAGAAAACAATCACAAAGATTTACGAAATGAAGATGTCTTGAATGGTATGGGTAGGTAAATCCGACTTACGTAAAATCTGATGGAACAAACTGGTTAAGTCGTTTGAGAAATCCCTGCGTATATTTTAAACTGTGTCCTTGTTCTCCCGATCGCTCCCCCTGCATGTGGCTCACTAACAAGTCTTCCGCCCGCAGAGAGACTTGATTAATGAGAAACAACGCGGTCGCATTTCACACTTTAGCGCGCGGGGAAAAGGCGAAGCGACTGGCTAACGGTGCGGCTTCTTTACACGGTTTTTCCCCAGCCGTTGTTCCTCGGTGATATGATTTCGCTGATGATTGTAACGCCCTTCCTTTAGGCAGCAGTCAGAGGAGCCAGACGCGGAGGCTGAGGGGAAGTTCTCCTGATGTTGTTTGAAGGTTTGTGCGTCAGAGGTCCCCGGGAGCTAAATGAAGGACGCTGGCCAGAAGCCACCTTCCTCCCGTCCTTGTTTACGACCTTCCGCACATTCTACGCTCTCGCTGTGCAACACCGACTACTTTCTAAACTTCCTGTCTGACTATTATCTTCCATAATCACAGCTACGGATTCAGACGTCATTTTGTCTTGAAGCTTTCATCTGTAGTCTCTGCAGTGTCACCCTACCTGTCCAGCTCTGTTACTTAATAAGTTTTTGGTCTGATCATTCATCATTGCTTTCCTTTCAGTTTATTACACAAAAGCTCTTGACTCATATTGCATGAGTAGTTCAGAAATCAGAGAATAATGTGTCTTTTTCACAGAAGGAATTTTTGAAACCATTAAGGAGGAAATGTACTTAAATAATCTCCGGTGAAGCAATATCTAACTAACCAGACTCAAAAGTTAAATGACATCTTAGTGCTGTTCTCTGGAGTGCAATTAATGCATTTCACATTCATTTCAGATGAAATGCACTAGTTTCTAGGTGATGCCAAAGACTGTTATTGCTATTATAAACAGACGGTACATATTGAAGGCATATTGAATTGGGATGAGTTTCATGGGAAAAAAAACACAGATCAGGGTAAAGAGATAAAGTGAGAGTGAAGTGAATTTTCTTCCCGAACAGAGGTACATCCATCTTAAAATAAGGGTGCCACTCAGCTACCCGGAACAGGCCGTCCTCAGGAACCTCAGAGGATCTCTGCTGTAAGGGCTCTTGTCTGGAAACCCGCAAGGAGGCCGCAGGCAGCTCTGGGGGAGCTACAGTCCTCCATGGCCGCGATGGGAGACTGTTCATGAGAGAACAATAAGCTGAGTACTTCATGTCTGGGCTTTCAGGGAGGCGGTGGAAGCCATTGTCGAGAAAAACTCCCATCAGCCGAGGCCGCGTGGGAGACTGTCAGGCCAAGGAGACGAATATCGTGTGGTCTGACGGGGCCAAAATTGATTTTTTTTTAGCCTGAAAGCTAAGTGCTACTTTTGGCACCAGGCTAATACCGCACACCATTCCAAGAAGGCTGTTAGTATCCAACTGTGGTTATTCTGCCCAACTTCATGGGCGAGGAAGCTGGTGGAAGCAGAGGTCCAATCAGAAAGTGCGATGCACGAAGGACATGATGCAAGACACATGGGATTTTGGACACGAATCGTCCTCTACATAAACAAGGACTCAAAATACCTAGAGCACATTCTGAGGTGGCTTCAAGACAGAGTTAAAAATTGCTGTTCAATAATAGCCTCTGTCAGACTTTGACCGAGACTGACATGCCATAAAAGGTGGTTTGAGCTCCACAGTCCATATCTCAAAGTTAATGGATCATCCAGCCTTCCCATAATCACTTATTCAGAGAACGGTCTTGACAGAGCTTTTGATATGGTGCTTTGTGTTCTTTGGGGAGAAATCCTACCAAACTCCATTTTGATTCGGTATAATAACGGGTCCAGAGTAGACGGATGCTGGCCGCATCCACGCGTCATTCACCGGAGCGCCGCTTTACGACCCGTCTCTCTTCACTGAGCCTTTGCGCATAATCCCGGGTCATAAAACGCGGTGCTCCCATCGCGCTGCTCTCATCACTAGACATGGGTCTGGCACAGCGAGGCACGGAGCACCAGATGTGCCATCGCAAGTCGCTCGCTCATTATGCGATGAATATTGTAACGAGCGTCGAGAACGCGGAAAGGCTGCCGCTCGGACGTGCCGCGAAGCCGCGCTGCCCGCGGAAAGGTCACGTCAGAACTGAGAGCGCGTTTGCCGTTTTTACACTGGAGCTGGCTACAGTAACTATTGTAATACACGGGATTTTTTAACCTGGCAAACAAGCATGTGCCTTCTGGTGTTAAAAAAGAAGAAACCCTATTTTATTAGTAAACCGCATTTATAACTGCACTTTATTCCTTCTGTGTTGTTGCTTGTATGTTTATCACCAAATACTCAACCGATGATGTAGCCAAACAGCGCATGGTTTGCCATGCGGACGTTAAAGTGGGTCAGATGGACCCCAGTACCTCACACACACACACACACACACACACCGCCAAAGTTAGGGGAGGGTGTGTGAGGTCTGGCTGGGACGTGGGCCGGGAACATGCCAGATCCTGCTGCCCACCACTGTGCAAGTTATTGAATCCTTGCCTTGGCTCATTTGCAAGCCTTCTGCGAGTGAGGCAGTAGCTGGGAACCGGGGCGCCGGCCAAGCGCTCGCCTCACCCGTGCAAGAGGCCGGCCGCAGGATTTACATGTCAATTTACACATTATGGAAATTTCCTACATACCTCAAATGTCTGCGTAATGCTATGTAAAGCGTATGCAGATATGTGTGCCTTGTCAAATCTCAGATATCCCAGGGCTTTAGTCCGTTTCATGACAGTTAACAATTCTGCAATATGCTTGATATATGGAATAATCGTAGTCCTATATCAGAACTCTAAATCGTTTTTTAATGATGGAGGACAATCAATAATAGGACTAAATCGAGTTAAAGTGACGTTTGGTATTCTTGATACCGCGGTAAATACTGACAAAGTGCTGACACTTTTAAGGCCAAACGATCATACTATTTTAATGAACATTGATCGATAAATTGAATTAACTATTTCAGATATTAAGCCATTTTTTATTATGAAGAAAATTTAAAAAAAAAAGATGAGTGGGCGGATTGGCGAAATGAAGATGAGGGGGAGAAGGGGAGGTTCGGGAAAGGTTCGGTGGTAATTCGCAGATTGGTGTACGACGGTGGTCTCTCCTTATTTTAACGCTCTTTGAGGTTCGGGGATGCTCGCAGTCGGACCGCGGCGTTTGGCCGCCTGTAGGGGTCAGTGTGCAGAATCGAAAGCTTGAACACGGGGAGGATCTGTAAAGGAAAAAAGCGGAGAAACGGTGACGGAAAGGGGGTCGGTTTGGTCCGAGAGCCGTGGGGCGGCGGTGCTTCGATCGCGTAGGCTGGACACGGTGCCGGGGGCGGTGGGCTCCCAATAAACGCTAAAACGGTGCCTTTCCGGGTGAAGAGAGGCGAGGATCAGGGATCGGACAAGTTTTAAAACTAAGGGGAAGCCCGGGCAGTAGTCCAAGAATCCGGGGGAGCCGGAGGAGGGGGTGCGGGGGCTGGGCTGGGCTGGGCTGGGCTGCCAGATGTAGCGTTTGCGGGGCTGTGATAATGTAGCCGGAGTTTGCAGCTCGCATCCGCTTTGGAGTGCAGTGAGTTCATCCGACGGGACGCCGACCATGCCCTAAAAGCGGGTGAGTTACGACACACCAGTAAATAATAGTTATCCATTATTAAAAAGACATCTATTCATGTAATTCTCCTTAAATAGAGTTTGCCGTATGTTACCGAGCAGGCAGATGCCGCAGTTTCCGCTTTGCCATAAGGAGCGATGCATGCGATTTGTTCCAGCTTACTGGATACTGAATTTTCCCCCATAAAGTTGTACAGCTTGTTCAGCCGATGTGCACGTTTTTTGCAGTTATAAATCTCATATGCTTTCGCATGTTACCGATCGTTTCTTTTCCTTGAGTGTGTGTTTTCTTTGCTTTAAGTTAAAGTGCATTAATGTGGGTCTTGATCACCACGGAGTATATTGGCAGAAAATGATTAACTGCACACTGGGCGCTTATCCTTAACCACGACTCGACTCAGTCTTTCACATCTTGAATCGCACAGTAAGGGGATTATCACTCCCGGTGAGTTTTAACTTATTTGTTATATTTTACCGGCTTTACTGGCACGGTTCGCCACAAAACATACATTCAGTGTCCAGTTTAATAGGCACATCTGGTCATTGGTGCAACAGCATGTGGCCGTAGCTGAATACATGGGTTAGGCAGACTGGTCAGGAGGTTTGCTTACGGTCTGAGTAAAACACCATAAGCAATACACACCAAAATGTGCTGGCAATACAAGATATGTAGTTTGTGTAAATGAACCAGATTTCCAGGTTTTGATAAAGTCCACAGTCTTTGAATGACAAAAGCTCATCTAGCAGCTCCCAAAATACAGCATTACTTTAGCTATTTTGCGGCACGAGGACTGCAAGGATACTTCTGAGACTTTGTGAGCTTGCTGTGTGGGTGGGGGGGGAGTCTGAGCTTCTGCCCATTCTAATGTCCACCCCCGGCCTGTTCCTGCCCCCCACCTGCCCCTTTCCCGGCATGCCAGCCGTGACTATATGGGAAATGACTGCGTCTCAGTCTGGTCACTCTGATTTAACCTCTGCGTATTTCCGAACTTGCCTAATAATACCTGCCGCTTTTGGTCTTGTTTAGAAACAGAGTTCTAAAAATAAGTCCGATTCGGCTTGAAGACAACTAACTGCCCAACAAAAATAAACATCCTTTCGGGGGGCAGTTCTGTGGCCGAAAACACCTTGAAAATGAGAGAGGTCAGAGGACGGCCAGACTGGTTAAAGCCAACAGCTCAGTACAGCAAAGTTGCACAGGAAGCTTCTCTGAACCCACAAGTAGTCTATCTTTAAAGTGGTTGTGGAGCCGATAGTAGGTGGTACCCAATACCCACTTGGTGTATCTGATGATGTGGCCACTGTTCTCTCTGCTTGTGTAAGATGTACCAGTGCCTGTGTTTCTGGTGCTATTTCTACATGAACCACTGGAGGATCCTCGCAGTGTCTTTCGGTTTAAGAAACACGAGCAGATCTGAGTCTATCCAGAAAGGCTCTTCTGTCTCCCCTGCTCCGGTCGAGGTTTGATGCCGGCGTGTCCTTTCTCCTCAGGTGGCATGTGAAGCCTCCTCTTCGTCACGCACACGCCACGGGACCAGTCATCTCTCCAGCTGAGCTCCGCCGTTCAGTCTGCCGGGGTCAGCCATGCTGCTGAAGGAGTACCGCATCTGCATGCCGCTCACCGTGGAGGAGGTGGGGCTCCTGGAGGAGGTCACCGCGTTCCCCAGCACCTCTGGCTTTTCTGCTCGTTACTCTGCCTTCAGCAGCTGAACTGTACAGCCATCTCAGCCCCCCCCTCCCACACCCACACACATGTAGGATTGTATCCCTATCTTTGTGGGGACAGCCTTAGCCCCTAACCAGCCCTAACCTTAGCCATAAGTAACCCAACAAAGTAGCAGATGTTTGCCACTTTTAGTTTTTTGATTGCAGTCACAGATTATTTTTTTTTATTATAAAAAATGAGTTTATATAAACTCTTTATGAGTTTCCCCTCATAGAGACCAAAAAAAGGTCCCCACAAAGTTACTATAAGAAGTTTTTGTCACATTTTGTCCCCAAAATGCAAGGCCATAATCATAATATATCATAATATAAAATATACACGTCCCCCCAATATTGAGATGTCCCCGCAGTGTTCCTCTTGATATATATTATAATTACGGCCTTGCCCCCACCCCCATGGCGACTCCATGGCTATAACTTTGCCACAATGTAATTTATACATGACACACACTTTGTAGGTAATCTGCTTTTATTCCTATTAATCATCCTGCATCTCTTTTACAGCCCCTCCTTTGCACCCGACCCTGACCATCCCCAACACTTATTTGGCTATAAAGATACCCCCCCCCCGCTCCCTCTTTGCCGAGGCTCCTGCTGCTGTTTGTACTGTATTTATGTGCTGTGCTGTTAAACAGCAGCAAGAAGTACCCGGGTCAGGGGCGAGCGGCCCTGGGTTCGAGACCGCAGTCACCCCACACCACGATGGATGTTTGGTGTCAGAGACTCCTGGGGTAGCACTCTCCAGACGGCCTCTCTCAGGCGTTTACCGTACTTTTTTGGGGTTTTTTTGCCGTTCCTTGCCGTTTCGCGTTTCAAAATGCCAAAATAACTTGTTTTGCCACATATTTAGTAATTTATCATGTATTTCACACGTGTGAGTGTATAGTTGTAGCTGTGCTTTTGGTCACTGTCTCTAACTAGGATTTTTAAATTAAATTTCTTTTCGCGTGTGTAGTTTACAGAGCCACTTATTTGCCCTTGCTGGGCCGCTGGTGACCTCCCCCCGTCTCCGAAGCAGATATTTTGCCGTGTCCCAGATTAGGCTTTGTGCCGGAGATGGTGTTTGCCGGAGTGGGCAGCTGTGTTTGCCCCGGGCCGCCTCTGAAAGCAAGGTGGCTCGCAAATAAGAAAAAGGTTAAACACCGCGCATTGTGGCTCGGCGACGCCGAGATGAATAGCAGCCGCCGCTTAAGAACCAGGCTTAATAGCCGAGATGCGGAGGTGTGTCGGGCTGCGTGTGCCGCACGCGCTTCTGCGGGGGCGACGTTCTGATATCTGAAGGTACGGCTTAATCCTGCGCCGCCTGCCTAGAGATATAAACCTCTGCCGGACCAACGTGCGCAGACCCTTTAACCTCCGAGACACTGTAGGGTAGAGCCAGTGCTCGTGGAAAAAGCCCGATTTAAAGCCAAACCCTGTGAATTCAATGGGCTGAGAAGTCACTGCATACTAGTTTTTCAGGACAGGCAGTGTATTCCTGACTAGGTAATGCGGTAAATTTTCATTCATTTGGACTTTTCCTTTCACAAACTCTCGTCAAGTTTATTATTAATAATAATAATAAGAAGAAGAATCTATTTATATAGCACTTCTCATACGTGGAATGCAGCTCAAAGTGCTTCACATATGGGTTTAAAGAGTAACATTGTAGGATTGATCCCAAAAGATGATGGATTGTTGCTTATTGAGTGAGGTGCACTGCATGGTATGTAGCTGATATGGAGCTATTTGAGTTCAAAGGTCAGTGCAGGACACAGCAGCAGCCGTTGTGTGATGGTACGCCTGTTTGGGTCAGCATTCCCCCCCCCCATGCTGCTGGGGTCTGGAGGGGCCCAGTGTCCGGGGCTGAGAGGACAAGGGCTTCATATGCCGGGTCGTTGGTATTCGGCTTTTATCTTCAGTTTGTGTGGATTTATCCCCGTCAGGGGCTTCAGATTCACTCTGATGGTGGGTGGGTGGGAGGGGGGGAGGGGGGGGCGTTTGTCTGGGGCAGTTGGTGCCTCTGCTCGAGGTCCTCCGGCGGACGGACCACGGCAGTCTGTGATGGGTAAGGAGTAGCTTTACCGTTTTGCCCATCGGCGGAGCGTGGCGGTAACATGACCCGGGCGCAGGACCGCGAGGTCTCCGTGGCGATCACACTTCTGCTTTGTGGGCGGGGCTAGGTCATCGTTTCTTCCCGGGCCCCTGATAGGAAGCCGCCTCCACCCGTGTGTGGCCTTGGGATGGCGCCCAGCCTGCACCATGTGACCTGGCGCCGTAGCGACGGTGCTGGTCAGTCGTCGTCGCCCTTTTGGGGGGGGGGGTAATCCTTCCCCCAGGGGTCCAGCCGACTGCATAACATTCCAGATCTGAAGTGAAGGTTTCCTGTTTAAACAATGAGTAGCAGTTTAAGTAAAATAACATCAGCAAGTTTTCCCTCACATGTTCCCTATTAACTGCTAATGGTGCAGACCCCCCCTTTCTTGAATGGGGGGGGGTGTTCCTACCCTCCTGTAGACCATCCCACTCGAGCAAAGGTGCGTCCCAAGTCTGCTTCCCATCTTGTGTTTTGAATGCACCCCCCACAAAGCCTAGTGTCCCCTTGGCCTTCTCATAGAAGCTTCTGGCATCTGATTTGTCAGGGTAGGATGTCTGAGACTCGCGTCTAAAGTCCAATCCCGCTATGATTACCTGCTTACCCAACACACCAGCCCCTTAGCACTCAGCTCCTTAGAGCAATCATGGAGAAGCATTATGGTCTCACCTCCCTAAGGGTATGGGTTTGATTCCCGACCCTGGCTATCTCTCTCACAGTCCACAGATACCTAATTTGGATGGATTAATGTCTTAAAATTTTCTGAACATGTATGTAACATGTGTGGACTGGGAAATCTGCTGGACTGGAATCCCGTCCTGGCCATCTCCTGCCCTGTGCCCTGTCCTTTCTGGGATAGGCTGCAGACTCTTGGTGACCCCAGATGATGGATGGATGGATGGATTCAGGGTGATGGAACTTAAGGCCCCGCAACTGCGGATTGTGGCTCATTTTCATGTCTCTTTCCTGCATGCCGGCCCTGAGAACGCCGGCAGCTTAATCCGCCGATCGGTGTGCGCCGTGCCGAGAAGGGGTGGCCAAACCCAGGATGCGGCAGTCACACGGTCGCCATGGCGATGCCGTTTGTTAAAGGACAGCCGTTATTAAGTGGGAAGTATTACCGTCCGCACAGAACCTTGAGGCTGATTTCGTCCTGACCGGTGACGGCAGGTGCAGATTAAGTGGCTGTTCCTTGCCTGCCCTGTGGGATAGCATGAGGATGATTCTTTATTATTAAAAGGTAAATTTCCCCCTTGAACATGAAGCTCTAATCGGTGCTGCCTGCTCTTCTAAAACGATGGGATCTGACCCCTGATGCATTAAGTGGTCCAGTCCCATTTCGTGCCTGTGGAGTTCCCTCAACAATCCAGCCTCTTCTTCCACTAGTTCTGATGATCCTGAAATCCATTTCCTGTGTATTTGTCGGGTTTTTGTTTTTTTTTTTTTGGGGGGGGGGGGTGGTATCCTATGTACGAGTGGACGCAGAAATGCTTGTTCACAATCCTCCTTGAATTCCCCAATACTGACCTGATCGATTCCCCGTGGCCCCACCCTCCGGCGTCTCCTCCAATCGCAAGAAAGCACTACTGGCTCTATCTTTAACTCGCCAAAGACGTCAATGATGATGCAGGAAGTGAGTTGGCTGGTTGGGGGGTCTGCAGGGGAGGAATGGGTGGGTGGACTTGTGCTCAGCCTCATGCCCCCTCCCTGCTGCAGTTTGTTGGATGCGATTCGTTTTCTTGTTAGACTCCTAATGGCTTCATTGAAATGTAGGTTTCTATGGAAACCACATTAGGGCGCATTTATAATAATGACATAATTGAAGATCAAGGCGCTTTATACGTTAGTTTTGGCAGCGAGTGTAAACATCGCACGAGCTGTAATGCGTCTCGAAGACTGGCGAGTGCTGTGTGGGGGGCCTCTTCTTGGAGGGGTTGGTAGTAGGGATGGGGGGTGGGCTCAGATCCCTAACTGTGCTTTTCAGGGGACCTATGCGGTCTCTGTCCGGATCCCTTGGGGGCGGCCGGCTTTCCGGGCGGGGGCTGTGCAGAACTGTGGCTCGGAGCCAGCAGCCAAGTCGGGGATGGTAACAATGGGCTGGTGGTGGAGGTGCTGCTCATGTGGCTTCCTGAGCCACATGCAGCCTTGTTTGTGTGTGAGGTGCCATGGCGTTATGTCTCATTATGTAAAGAGCGGCCCTGTAAGGCCAGACCTCCTACTGCAGGGCTTCTGGGTCTGTCTGTCTCTCTTTGAGTCTGTCTGTCTCTCTTTGAGTCTGTCTGTCTCTCTTTGAGTCTGTCTGTCTCTCTTTGAGTCTGTCTGTCTCTCTTTGAGTCTGTCTGTCTGTATGAGAAAGCTGTTCTCCTGATCAAGATGTTTTGTGAGCTTTGGGGGTGATGTGTGGCTCCTGATCCGACGTGCCTGTGATCAGAAAGTTGCTGGTTCAAATCCCAGGCTCAGCAGAGTCAAGTCTCCGTTAGGGCAATTGCTGCAGTGTCTGGCGCTTTCTCAGAAATGTGTGTTGCTTTGGATAAAAATGTCTCCTAAATTAATAAAATGTAAATGTAAGCTGAGAAGATCGGCGCTGTGGGTTAGTGGCAGATACACCAGCAGATGATCTGCTGGGCATTTCATGCTTTTCTGTCAGGATTATCTTAGTCAGTTAGTACTGCTACACGGCTTTCTGTCCACGGATAATGCATCTCAGCCTGGTGCAGCAGTGAGAAGGCTGGCCTCTTAGTCTCAGCGTGAGTCTTCACAGCGAGTCCTGGCTGCTGAGACTCCCAGGTACGGCAGCTCTTGTGGGATTGGACCTTTCCTGCCGTGAAGGTCGCTGTCTTCGTCACTCTGAAGTCTCTGGGTGGAAAAGGCGAGGTCAACAGCACAGTATAGAGGGGTGAAGCTCATCCTCTGAGGAGGTCAAGTGCAGTGTGGACGTCTTGGGTTAACTGCCCTCTGAACTTTGACTCTTGACCCGGCGCTGCTGTGTCAGAGACCAGCACAGAGTCCTGGTGAGCTGTGGGTATGGTGAGATCCTTCAGCAGCAACCCCATCTCCCCGACATCCAGTTATGCTCCGGGTCAAGCGCATAACGTCGTCTGTGTGCCACGCGCAATGAGCTCGCTTATTAGCCGGTTACTGACTGGATGACAGGGTCAAGATCGAGGGCAGGAGGTGGGGGAGGGGTGGGGGGGTTGTAGCACGGTGATTTAAAGATGCTCTCTCCTGACCTACGTGTTGCTGCTTTGAGTAGCGGAAGGAACTCGAAATGTTACAATAACTAGAGAAATTAAGATGTCGGTGTATAAAAAAACGGATGCATTTACCAGATGCATTTTTCCAAAGCAGCGCGCACTGAGAAAGTAGGGTCACGGTCCCTGGAACATATGGGCTTTAAAGGTCTAATGGTGACATCACTCTCTTGACCCTGGGGTTTGAACCAGCAACCTTCCGATCACAATCACCGCGTCCTAATTGGCTGAGCAACACAGTGCCCATTTCTGGTACTGGGCTCATGCTGTAGGATAACCATATGTGTAGGCCTGAATCGAGGGAGTGTTAGGGTGCCTCAGACTGCCACATCGTCATGACGACAGCGATGCTCCCCGATGATGGGCTCTGTGCTAATGCCCCCCCCGCCCTGTGTCTCCAGTACAGGGTGGGCCAGCTGTACACCATCAGCAAACACAGCCACGAGGAGAGCGACAAGGGAGAGGGGGTGGAGGTGGTCCGGAACGAGCCCCACCTGGACCCCGTGCACGGGGAGGGCCAGATCACCGAGAAGAGGGTGCACCTGTCCAGGTAAGCCCCACCCACCGCGGCCAACTATAACGCATCACTACTCTGTTTAGGATTTGACCCTATCCATTGGCGTGTTGAGACCATAACTTGGCCTGCAGAAAATGCTGATGTAGCTGTGCATGCGGGACGCACGTTTACTCGTCGTCCTGCTGAGATTCGGGTTCCTCTTCCTGTTTCCTCTTTATCGCCCTTCCACGCGCGGCGGCATGTTCCCAGTAACGTTGAAACCCGTTTCCCGAAAGACTTTTTCCCAACGCCTTTGCTTTTCCGAGGAAGCAGGTTGCTGACTTTGCAGCCCTGTTACCGTGACGCCCGGCCAAGCTGCCCGAGGACATCCCATCCTGCGTGTTGCAGGGGCAGGCGCCGTACTCCTAACAGAGAATGGGCTTGACACCCGTTTAGATAGCAGCTAATTGGACTGGATAGGGAGTGGTATATTTGGGTCTAGTCATTAGGCTGGCTTGCCATTTCCTGTTTGTTGAGACGCGTGACAGACTGAGTGGAGTGTCTGCGTGTGAGTCTGTCTGCGGCGCGCATGTGTCTGTCTGCATGTGTGCGTGTGTCTGTCTGCATGTGTGCGTGTGTCTGTCTGCATGTGTGCGTGTGTCTGTCTGCATGTGTGCGTGTGTCTGTCTGCATGTGTTCTGATCCC